GAAACAGCTTCATCGAAGCAGCGCGCAGAGGATAATCAAGAAGGAATTAAAGCTGCCAATTTTCAAGAGGTTTGTCACTCAAATTGTGAGTGATCGTGATAAAGAAAAACGCCTCATGCGATGCCAGTGCTTGTTGCATAGATTTCTGGATCACGCATCGGCCGGAAGGATCTGGTTCAGTGATGAGAAAATGTTCACTGTGACAACTGTGAACACTCAAAATTGCAGAGTTTATGGTCGTGCTGAAGGTGGGAAGAAGAGAGAAGTCACTCCAGAAAGGCTCTTCATTGGCCAGAAGCACTTCACAGATAAGGTCATGGTTTCAGTTGCGCTCTGTACCAGGGGAAAAACAGACGTGATCTTTTTAAATGATGGAGTGCAGATCAATAGCCAGTACTATTGCAACACCATCCTCGAAAACCTCCCTCCAATGACTGAAGTGTGCAAATAAAACTTCATCCTGCAACAGGATGGTGCCCCATCGCACACCTCGCGATTCAATGTCGCCTTTTTGGAAGAGCACTTTTCGGCGTTCATCGAAGCGGACATGTGGCCTCCGAATAGCTCAGATCTAAACCCAGTTGTTTCTTTCGTGCGGGGTGCAATGGTTGAAAAGGTTTACCGCCATCATATTCGAGATATCTAGCACCTGAGAGCTGAGATCACTAGGGCTTGGGCTGAGATCCCGCAGAGAGCGTTGTAAAGAGCGGTTGACCAATGGCGCAGAACATTGGCTGCTGTGGTCAACTCAGAGAGTGGAGCCATGGAACAATCGTTCTAGTGAATGCAGAAAGAGGTGCGTTCTTCGATGTTAAAAGCTTATTTAAAAAAAAAAATTTTTTTTCACTAATAAAGCCCCGAGGTCAATAGCTTTCTTTTTTTTTTGAGCCACCGTGTATATTTAAAGCCGAGGAACGGGTTAGAGGATCTTCCAGAGACATTGCGATTCAGTGAGGCTATGCCTTTTCCACTTAAGGACGCTTAGGTCGAAGCCATTTCTTTACATATGCTTCCTTTAATGAGAAGGTAACATCGAAAGTTGCGGGTTGCATTTTCGGTTTCAAGTATTTTCTTAGGGACATTTGCACGTAGCCTTTGGAAAAGCTTGAAAAAGGGCCGTCAGCGTTGTCTTTGGGCCCAAATATGGATATGAATATAATGACAAAATGAATATAAAATTTGAGTCAATGTATTCTACCAGGAATTATTGCGTTGAGGCGCTGAAGTAATGAGCTTTTATTTTTAATACGCACTTTTTACATGTACAGTATAACTGAAGACGAGTGTGTCTAACATAGACCGGAATTAAATTTATCATAGGAACACTAAATGACGCACAGTAAATCTTCACATGGTGATGCATCAAACACGTTAATATAAATATTTTCTGATCAACTTCATTTTTAGGTGCGAAGCCGAAAGGGCGAAAATCGCCAAACAAGTCAAGGAGTTTTACCGCATTATTAGGGTGAGCTTCGAAAAATGACATGATCCAAATGCATCAGTAAATTTCGTTGATAATAGTGCGCAGAAAGCACGCCCAAAGCGAGTCTGTTTGCCCGAATGGCAATCAAACTCGGTAGTATATTATATTAGTAATATATTATAATTGCTCTTCTAAAGTCATACGAAAGAATGTTGTATGGATTGATTCTACGTGTCGAAAAAGGAGAAGTAAATTGGTTAACTTTTGATCACTTTCCTGAGATTTTTTTTATCACTTTCAAGTTCACTCGATAAATTTACCTTGTCAATAGAAGTAGTTCATCAATCGACTACTCAGGATCTAATAAATAACATGAGTTATGCATATACATAAGGAGTAAAACTGTACATACAACAAACAAGACTCACCTTCAGGTACACCTTCAGATCGCACATGATGAAGAAACAGCGACAAGAACAGTCGTATTTCATGACAAACGTTTCTCACAATTTGGCATCAAGTCTTTATATTTAAGAAAAGTTCAAGTCATGGACCTTTGCACCACGTAAAGGCTAATAAAGGTCCAAAGGAAGGCCTGGAGAAATATCGATGCGGGACAAGGACTTCAATCCGTAACTTTTAACAACAAAATTTTTTTTATTCCTCCATTATCAAAATTTGACTTTTGTCCAAGAATTTCGGACTTTCGTACCACTGTGGGGCGTTAGATTGAGAGGAAATATGAGAATTAAGCTTATTACGGTGGGTGTGTGCATTAGTAAAATATTGCACATAATTTGAAATCAAATTTCTTCAAAACCGGTTTGCTCTGACTTTAAAAGCATGTACTAGGTTGTTTAGAGGTAGTGACTATTACTAATGGCCCTGAGGAAATCCATGTCGATTCTTCGAAGTGGCATAGTACGATGACACTGAGCGATACTGGCATGGAACGGATGAATTATACGGGTTCCTGTTAGTAGCCGTAACGTATGAAAAGCATTAACTGCAGTTTCCTGGAATGACTCGATGCATACGGCGGACGTCAAGTCGAAGTCATCCTTCCAGACCGAAACTAAATATTGAGAAATGATGTAAAAGGGAAGCGAGATAAGATAAATAAGGTGCGCTGGGCTCGTATCTCAGATTCAGATATGGTTTACAGCACACGAAGTACCCGCATATCGTATTCCCTGTTCCGCTTCTCGTTGAGTGCCTACCAAGTGAAGGCTACTATTAGAGACAGAAGCACAGTTGCATGCACTGCCCTCGATCAACATGAAGGAGCAAGGCTTGGTGACTTTAGAATGCCATCGACACTTCTTGGGAGTGGCTTAGTGTGAGGAAATGAAGGCCCTCCTAGTCGTTTGCACCGCATTCGCGATCGTCCGACTGCTTCTTGCACGTAAGTGAAAATCACAGATGGATGCAAACACCATTATTGTGCAGCATTAACCGTAACAACTCCAATCCAATCCACGAACGAGCACGAGTGATTGGATAATGCATCTGAAACCATGCTGTTTTATTTATCATGTCTCTTTCACGTTGGATATGAGCTTATTTTCATAGATTCGAATAGAGCTTCCTTTTACTCATGATTCGTTCGTACCATTTTCAGCCTAAAGAAAATATTTTCAGACACAGGAGATTACGACCATATGCATTGAGATGAGATCCAAACTCATGCCTTGCGCTTTATGGAAACATATATTGATACTTACACCAGAGTGACAGTGGTTATCTCGCGATTGCCAGTGAGATAATGGTATATTGCATATAGTTCTGACGTCAAACATTTCCAAGAAATTCTCGTTTTTAGGATTTCCAAATAAGATGATCCTTCCTATTGAAAGTGTTATTTTCATAAAAGTGCCACTCGGGAAGGAAGGTTCTTGGTGATACGGCTTGTAAGGGCAATGCAGCGCATGCAGAATAATTCCACTGGTCTGTGTGGTGATTCATTTTTTTAATGTTGGATGATACACTTGAAGATAAGGGCAGTGTTGACCATTCAGAGAGAGAATTTATTGTCCGCGATTCCGTGAAATTGTGAAACACATCCTGTCATCGTGTGAACTGGCTGGTACACGTATTTAGGACTGAAAAATAACTTCAGTGCAATGGCTTCAATATGTTCAAATATAAAAGACATAGCAATGGTAGGTATAATATGCAAATCACTCCGTGGTCATTATGCCCAATTTCAGGCCTTCAGCGAAGAAGCAAAGCGACTCCAAGCTGGCAAGGACTTTCATGAAGGGGGGGGGTCTGTTCTCATGGTCCATAGCTTTTCCTGTGAAGATTCTCTACCAAGACGGTCTTCAGTTTCAAACGTGTAGAACTAATTCGCTGTTGGGAGTGATTTATTTACTTCCGTTGGCATCTTCCATATAGTGGACGAGGAATACGAAGACCGTGCACTGATAAGAAAATCTTTGTGGCCACATTTTGGTACCGACGTAATATTGAAACGCCATCATTGTTTTATTTAAGCAACAAGTCTAATAAAAAGTTCCGTTCCTTTGAACTTCCCGATGATTTTAAGGGAATTTTCGAAATTGTGACATCCTCTCTCAGCCTTTTGCCTCCCAACTTTTATCGTGGATGAAAAGCAGCAGTTGGTATCCATTCAGCAGCATTTTTTACTCCAACGGTTATGGGCTGATAAGTCTAAACCATGGTTACTTTCACGTAACCGTGCTCCGGTCCGTAGTAGCAGGTATTCAGAATGATGTTGCAAAAAGACGCAGTGCGGGGAGGAAAGAAGCTCGTGCAACAATGGGTTTGTGCTACGAGATGAACGATGCAGTCATTAGTCTTTCATGTATTTCATGCCGAAGGTCTTTCGTGCATGGCTCAGCAGGACTAACTACGACTTAGATGCGTACCTCTAATAAATTTGTAAAATATCATATTCGAAACATTTTACAATTGTCAGAAGTCGGACCAGGGCACATGGCTATTTTTTCGCTTAGGGAATATACTTCCGTTGGAGACCTGGAAAACCAAAAGAAAATGTATTTTTGTCATTACTGTTGCACGGTGGATAACATGCCATTGAGGGATCACAAGGACTTAAGATCATAAATGGTGGCTCAGCAATTTATTGGGTGTTTCAAGACAAGAATTCGACATTTTTTGTCCACAAATACCTTGACATAATTTATAAAATGACGAATCGGCAAATCATTTCGATATTTAGAGCGGAAGCTGGCAGAAATACAACTGGAAAAAGGACAATGGTAACATAATAAGCAACGATTCGACTGGTCATCTCATAATGCCGTCAATGGAGGAGAACAGGGATTCCACGATTCCTACACGGCATCGAGTGTAAAAGTTTGAAAGTTGCATGGAGATGCTGTTGGCAATTTCTACAAAGAGAAACGATCTCTCAAGAATGATTCATTTTCGTTTAATCTATTGATTTGGCGAGGCAATTCACACCCCAGTCGTATGAAAGTATTTTATCTGCATCTATTTCGCTTGCTGAAGAACTATTTCTATCTATACTTGATCAAGTGAGCACATTCCATATAACTTTTTCCTCTTAAATGAATTATTTTGTTTTATGGCAGAGACTGAGGCTAGTAGGAACTGTACAAATCCGGACGACTGTGTGAGCAACGCGAACTGCACAGATGACACTTGTCTCTACGAAGCAGGATATCAGGACCAGAATGAATTACATAGTAAGTCGTCGCATTGAGAATTTTAAATGACGCTTGGATATATATATTATTTATTTTTTACTGCATTACTCACTGAAAGGCCTACCTCTTCTCGGAAAAGAATGCGACTCTGTTGTCGGCTGCGACGGAAATAACACTGAATGTTCGGAGGGAAGATGCAATTCCACGACTGAATTCCAGGACAGTGATGGCGTCTTCAGTGAGTTTCTTTCATTGTCATTTTCGTACTCTGTAAGTGTGTTATCATTTCCAAATGATAGCGATGACATTGGAATCTACCCTGGACGGGAAGAGAAAGGCATTACGGACGTTGGGGAGTGCGTGAAGCACCATGCTGAGTGTATCCTCACAGCACCTTTGCCTTAGCAAATGAGTGGAAGGATGGGGGGAAGAGGAAGCTTTTGTTGTTCGTCACTCTTTTTCATTTGATGTGGACAAGCCTCCTATTATGTCTCCATTGCCTTCTTAGGTGCGACAATCCGATAACACAGGAAAAATAGTGAACAAACGAATATTTATTACAGTAATTCCGGAAGTTTATTTCGGAGTGAATCGAAAATTATTGCGCGAGAAATGACTTAGTCTAATAATCAGTTCGTGGAAGCAGGCATCTCCAGACCAGCTACTCTTCCTGGTATAAGAATGATTGTAGGAGCCACATCTATGTCATTTCTTTAAAAGCTATTCCCATGTGACCCAGGGGCCACACATGATGTCGCACCTTCTTGGCTTACCTTCTCTCTAATATTTATGGTTTATGACAGAGGCAGAAGCTGTTAGGAACTGCACAAATGTGGAAGACTGTGTGAGCAACGCGAACTGCACGGATGACACTTGCCAACACATTACAGGATATCAAGAGAAGAATAAACCATCTAGTAAGTCTTCGTGTTGAGGCTTGTACATCTATACCTGTATACCCGTATATACGATGTGTGGTCGGTAAATAACAAGTCAAGGCCAGCAGTTCTGAACGAAGTTTATTTTAGCAACTGCCACCCAATTTTCTGGTAATCCCTACCTTGTACTTCTTCTCCAAATATCAATTACCCGGATTGAGACCTCTGTATCTTCGATGTACCAGCTTTTCCATGCCTTCCTGATAGAATTAGCTTATTGTGTGTGAAACCACTCTGGAACTGCACCTTGAACCGCAGTATCCGCAGCGAAATCACTTCGGCTGAGGTGTTTCTTCCAAAGCACGAACAGATGGAAGTCGCTGGCGGTGAGATCGGGATTGCATGGAGGATCATTCAGGGCTTTCCGCTAAAACCACTTCAACAGAACCTATGTCTGGCGGGTTCTCGACCATCCTCCATACTATTCCGATCTCGAGCGCAGCGACTTCTTGTTCGAGCCTTAGGCGAAGCACCACAGTTCACGTGATTTCGTTAAACATGCTGCTGTTAAAGATGCGGTTCAAGAGTGATTACACCCAAGGAACAAGGAATTATATGAGGATGATATGGAATAGCTTGTTTTTTCGAATGGATAAGTGTCTGTCTCAACATGGGTAGTGACTAAATGGAGCAGTGCTGTGTAAGCAATAGCACAATAAATGCGTGAAAATATAAAAAAATGAATAGCGTTCTGACCTGCAAGCCTTCGCTTCTTCCTAAACTATCGTTCCGCTTATTTCAATCGACTGCATTCCTTCCTGAAAGTGCTGCCTTACCTTGGAGAAGACTGCGACTCTGCTGTCGGCTGCGATGCAAGGAACACTGAATGTTTGCAGGGAAAATGCAAATGCAAGACTGAATTCCTGGAAAGTGGTGGGGTCTGCAGTGAGTATCGGTCGATGTTCTTTTCATCTTCTGCCATCGTGATAATATTTTCATGCGGTTGCGATCCAGTTAAGACATACCCTGGACGGAAAGAATTATGCATTCCGAACCTTGAAGTGCGTCACATATCATTCCGAAAATGTCATCAAATCACCAGAGGGCTTTTTCAAATGTGCGGAAGGATATGTGGAGAGAGGTGGCTTTCATCATTCGTCATACTTTTTCAAATTTGTAGATGACTCCTGTAATGTCAGTCATCCGTCAGCTCCGAGATTATTGAAAATGATTATTTGGAAGGATTGTCATGTTTGGTACTCTAGTTCAACTTAATCAAACTACCCTTTAAATTAAAGTAGAATGTTTGAGTCAGAGACCTATAAAACCTAGGGTAGGTAAATTTCTGGATTTCATGAATCGTCTTCAAAATACGCTGGAGTAGGCATCACCTATGATTAATTCAATTCTACACCTCGTACGACAATCAAGGGAGGAATACTGAGGAAGATGCTCGCGACCGGTCTAAGAATACATTTATATTTCCAACAAGGCAAGCATCGCCTGACAAGCCTGTCTGCCAGGTGCGAAAGGTGATGGTAGGAAATTGGAAAGTTCAGCGTAGCTCAAAAGTTCTTGGAACCCTGTCTTTCAGAATTGTTTTCCAATTTTTTCTTACAAGATTGACCAGCATTGAGGCAATCGATCTATTTCTATAACTTAAAACTAAATTCGGCTATGTTTCGAGGAAATATTGCAGAAAAATGAAAATTTACCGAAAGGAATCCTGTTTTTACAGGTAAAATTGAACTGCCTCAAAAGTATTGCCATATATTAAAGTGTGTCATTCTATATTCGAATATATTAAAAGACATATGCTCTGTTTTCAACACTTTTTAAATTCAATCCTCCAATAATCAATTGCACGACTTACAGATAGCTGGGAGATTAAATTGTAGGCTTTAAAAATCCTTGAACCAAATGGACCAAAAGTCGCTCCTTTGACGCATCCCGCTTTTCTTGCACAGGAAGTATTGATAGTTGGTAGACGTGGTTGTTCTTTTCGATTGACTTGCGTAGCCACAGTAAAAGCGTTTTTCGCCCGTGAAGAACTCTCGCCGCATTGACATTTCGGTCGGGAATTTCTCCAGAAGCTCCGGAAAATGAGACACTGATGTGTCTATATTCTAGTCCCTAAACACTGGGCAGTAACTCCGTTGTAAATACTTAGTTTCAAAGCCTTTTTTATTATCCTCGGAGCACTTGGTCGTTTGAGTCTTGTCTCTCTGGCAATTTCTCTCCGGTTTTATGAGGCTTAACTTCCAGGGCGGGTTGTGCATCACTGTTCTAGACTTTAACCAAGCAGGTTAGCTGTCTCAAAATTCTCTGTTGCTCACGAAAGCCTTTGTCGACTACGAGACTTGCAATCACTACTGACTAATCGATCTTTTGGTGAAGAAAATACACGCTGGCGATGCACCAACTTTTTTTTTTATAGGGAACTATTTTACTATTTTCCTTGCCCCCCTCCCCTCTGCGATTTTCATTCCTTGGCCCTTCATTTGCCGCGGACGTTCTTTCAAATAAGCATCTGCATATAACATTTAAAGGGCAATGACTAAAAGGATTCTTCCAGTATAGAAAAACAGAGAAAAACGAATAAAATGTGATGAAATTGCGCAGGCTTGTCACTACCGATACGCGCGCGTTTCTCGATGATGTTCACACCTTTAGAGCGTCTTACATGCAACTTAGCCTTCATTTTCCTAAATTATTTTTTTTAAATGATCATTTGAGTACATGTTGCCACAGGGCCAAATAAAATTAAATGGATGCTCAGCTGTCATGACCATTTCTCTTCCTCAAATGCTATTCCCCGAGATCCAGTGGCCACATGACACGTCACACCCTATCCTCTTGCCTGCATTTGTTCATGTTTTCAGTGACTAAGGTTGGTAACAACTGCACAAATGCGGAAGAGTGCGTGAGCAACGCTAACTGCAAAGGTGACACTTGCCAATGCAATGCAGGATATCAAGAGCAGAATGAATTATGTAGTAAGTATTCCAATCAAGAATTTGAATTACCATATTTTCATATTATATTTTAATTAACAACATTTCTCGTTGAAAGGGCTGCCTCACCTCGGAGAAAAGTGCGACTCAGGTGTCGGCTGTGATGCCAATATCATTGAATGTTCAGAGGAAAAATGCAAATGTACGATCGAATTCTTGGAAAGTGATGGCACCTGCAGTAAGTTTCCATCAATATCCTTTTCATCTTCTATCATTGTGTTATTATTTTCATACCGTCGCGATTTCGTTATGACATACACTAGACTGTAAGAGGAATTCATTCCAAAGTTCGAAAAGTGCGTGGAATACGTCCTCACAGATTCAGAGTGCTTTTGCAAATGTTCGGAAGAATATGTGGAGAGAATTGGCTTTCATAGTGCGTCATTTTTTTAATGATATTTATACGTGACTCCTGCCATGTCTGTCGTTCGCCAGCTCCAAGATAATATGAGCATCTTAAAAGCTTATTAAGTCTCGTCTTCTCGTTCAGCTTAATTTGACTATATTAACATAGTTTCCGAAATTCAGAGTCATTCTTGTTTGCCACCTTCGGGAGTTAACATCACGTAAAAACCCAATCCTCCTGAAACTATGCAGGGTTATGCCTTATAACGAATTGAACGTGCTTCGAAAATCGAAAACGCAGGACGACTAAGAAAGAGACAAAGATCTCTCTTAAGGAACATCAGGAAGGTTTATGGGAAAACCACCTTGCCTCAGGACGTAGTGTTCAAACAATGGGATATTTTAAATCTGTGTTGACCCCTTCGAAATATTTTCAGTCAGTTGAATACTGTTGCATATGAAGGGCTCGGTGCAGTAATATCCTTATTATTTCATCGAAGCAAGCGGTGGCGTATTAGTCTCTTTTCTTGGTGTACAAGATGATAATGTGAACATTATGTTCTCCTTCATCCTATCGTTTGCTCAAATGCTTTTCTCTGTGATCCAGTGGCCACATGACATGTCGGTCTTGCTAAAATTGGACGAAAATGAATTGGCCGAGAAGTTAAATGCCAAAATGGAAAATTGTAGAATATTAGAATGTTGAAAGTTAAATAAATACGACGACAATAAAATACGTCGAAATGAAATTTTTCAAATTAAAACATTTGCAAGTCATTGAATCACAAGGTCAACTCTCAAATCTATCGTTTAGAAGTGTAGATCGTGCGCGATAGCTCGCAGGTACACCGTAGCACCTCGATTTTTGCAAACAATGCAAATAGCGTTCAGTTGTGCATCGCGGGTAACATCTTGCTTCCTTCGCTTTTTTATGGGTGGCCCATTTCTCGCCTGTCAATCTCCCATTCCACATACGTTTTCTGCTTCTGTAAGGCTTGAAGGAGGTGAAACTCATTAGGATGACACAATTTCTAGAGGTTGTTTTTACATGAATTCGCCATCGAGCACTTCTTGTTCAGTGCATTTGCACTTTTGGCATCTCCAATAAGTCTTATTGCTGTAATGCTGGCTTTTGGGGTGCTACAAAATCATGCAGAACCAGAAGTATTTTTCCCTTCTGGGAAACGCTGAAGCGATGTTCGGAACTCTCCTCCATGCCTGGCACACATTCACAAACCTGGGCACACCGATGGAATAGGAACCAGATTTTAACATGATCTGCGTCTCGAGCACTATCTCCCACTCAATGGAAGCTAGAGTACACGCTGAAAGACACCGATTCTGACTCGGGTGACTCGCTGGACTCAGTTTTTTGGATGGATTCCTTCATTTCTACATTCTACGTGTTTTTGACGACTTCTCGCATGCTCCTTCTTGGATATTCAACGAAAGTTCCATTCAAATATTGTTTGCGGAGACATTCTGCCACATCAAAAATTTTCCTTCAGGACATTTTTTTCTTTCCGACCTTATTCATTTAGAATTATTTTAAAAAGCAGAATGGACATGTCACACTCTTCCCTCTTACCTGCATTTTTTATGTTTTATCGCAGAGGGTAAGGCTGGTACCACCTGCACAAATGTGGAAGACTGTGTGAGCAACGCGAGCTGCAAAGGTGATACTTGCCAATGCAATGAAGGATATGAAGAACAGAATAAATTATGCAGTAAGTATTCGAATCTAGAATATGAAAATGTGGTAGATTTACATTTCAATTAACTGCAATCCTCGTTGAAAGGGCTCCCTCACCTTGGAGACAAGTGCTTTTCTGCAGTCGGCTGTGATGGAAATAGCACTGAATGTTCCGAGGGAAAATGCAAGTGCACGACTGCATTCGTGGAAAGTGATGGCTTCTGCAGTAAGTTCCCTATGATATCCTTTTCGGCTTCTGTTATCGTGTTGCTATCATACTGCCGCGGTTCAGTAATGACATGGCCTGGACTGGATAAAAATTAATTCCCGACCTTGCAGAGGACGTCACCATGCGGAATGTTTATTTACAGGACCATAGGTATTTTTCAAAAGCGAGGAAGGATATGTGGAAAAAGGAGGATTTTGTTGTGCGTTATCCTTTTTCATGACATCTGCCATATCTGCATTGCCATATGATGAATCCAACGACGAAGGGGAACTAAGTTACATACGAAGATTTCTTGCAAAACCCATCATCAGGTTATAGTGTTTATGTAAAACAATATCTCTATTACGTGGGTCGCTTTGAAAGTTTATTTCGGAGTGAGCTGAATACTGATCCAGGTGACGGCATCCGGTTTAATAATCCCAATACCATTTCATCGGGGCAAGAATTTCTTGACCCGACTCTCCTTCAGTTGTAAAATGCGATTTTAAAACGATGAGGGGTCAGTCAGCTATGAGTAGAATCACCATTCATTTAATGTCGATATCTGATGTAACTCAAATAGCTGAAATGCGAATAGTTCTGGTGCTGTATTAAACAGATTTGGATCCCTAAAATTATATGCAAAGAGTAATGAACTGCAAAATTACGATGATATCGCTGAATTTATATGAAAATGAACATACTGCAAATTGTCAAAGAAGATTGAGAGCGGGGGGGAAGGAGAACGCAAGAAAAAAATGAAGGACGTCCGTGAGTGGCCACATAAATTTGACCACATAAGTGATTGTAGTCAACTTTGGCGGCATACGAGGTACAACATTACTACGACAACACATCCATCAGAACAACTTCACAAAAATGCTCCTCCAATGACACCCTAGAAATCCATGTCCAGCGCGCGTCCCAACATTCTATTAAAAGCTATTTCTTTATTATGAAGCAAATATTTGTCCCAGAACCACCAAACTTGAGCGATACACATATAAACCTAGTTCTCTTCTTTGCCTCTCAGCATGTTCACCTTCTCGTACCCGGCAACATTCATAGCGACGTGCAAGTTTTTCCCCCGTATTTACTGGCATCGTCAGTGTCATTTTGTAAAAGTCAGTACGGAAGATAAGGCCTTTTCAGGATGTTGGATTTTTTCAGCTGAAGCAGCGTGCCATGTGAGTGGCAGGGTGAATACACACAACGCAATATCATGGGAAAACTCTCACACTTTATATGAGTTTGAATGCGTCAGTCCGAAGATGAATTGTTGATGTGGGGTAATGCACGACAAAAGCTCGTCCAGACTGGTCATCTCATAAAGGCGGCTGGCAAACCGTCTAAGAACAATAGGGATTCCGTAAATTATCCGTCGTGTCGAGTGTACGAGCTTAGTAACTACGAGTGTACGAGACAATGCATGTTATTTATCCGAAGAGGAAACATCTCGTCCAGAGTTAATTCTTTTGTCATTATCGAGTCTGACTTTTTCATTCAGGCGATCCGCAGCCTAGACTCATAAATGTATTTGACTCCTTTCATGTCGATTGCTAAAAGAAAAGAAAACGATTCACGCGTGAGCCAGTGGCCACTTCATCATGTCACAACTCCTCTTACGTGCACTTTTTTATTTAATGCCAGAGGCTCAGGCTGGTAGCACCTGTACTAAGGTGGATGACTGTGTGAGCAACACGAACTGCAAAGGTGGTACTTGCCAATGCAAGGCAGGATATCAAGAGCAGAATAAATTGTGTAGTAAGTATTCCAATAAAATTTGAAATCTAGTCTGAAATTTACATCTTAATTAACAACATTCCTCGTTGAAAGGGCTGCCTCGCCTCGGAGAAAAGTGCGACTCTGGTACTGGGTGCGATGCAAATAACACTGAATGTTCCCAGGGAAGGTGCAATTGTACCACTGAATTCCTGGAAAATGGTGGCGTCTGCAGTGAGTTTCCATCAATGTCCTTCTCGTCTAATGTCATGTTTTTATTTTCATGCGATTACGATCCGTTTGTTAGTTCCAAAATAGTTAAAAATTAGACTTTAGGAGATTTTCAAGTCTAGTCATCTAATTGAACTCATTCAGGAAGACAGATACCGATATTAGCTCCTGATACTGATATTAACATATAATTCAGGAAATAAACAGGGTATTTTTGGCCTGCAACCTCCGATATTTATCAAGCATTTTAATCATCATAAAGATACACCCACAATTTGCTTTGCCTTGTGATGAATCTGTCATTGTGCTACAACCAAAGAAAGACTAAAGAAGATGAAAAAAATTATTATAATGAAGATTAGGAATATTTATTTCAAGACTTCGCCACAGGCCATAGTGCTCGTGTAATGCTAAATCTGTTTTATGTAGGTTATTTCTTAAGTTTTTTTTCAGATTGAGTTGAACACCATTGCGCGTGAAGCGGCTTGGTCTAACTACATTGTTTCATTGAGGGAAGCATCACCTATCAAGGTGTAAATGAAGATGATACGGATGTGGAAATATTTTAATCGTACATTCGTCGCCTGCTCAGATGCTAAATCCCTCGTCTGTAGCCTGTCACCAAATGACATCGTCGCACCTTTTTCTCTTATTTGCGTTTTTTATGTTTCATGGCAGAGGCTAAGGTTGGTAGCTACTGCACTGATGCGGAAGACTGTGTGAGCAATGCGAACTGCACGGATGACACTTGCGAATGCAATGCAGGATATCAAGTGCAGAATAAATTATGTAGTAAGTCTTTGCATTGAGAATTTTACATCTATGCTTATGTATATTTTCAGCACATTGTACCCAAAAATGTTCTCTACAATTTTGTGACTTCACAGTTTTGAATCTTCAAACGAGAACGTTCGAATTTAAGAAATTGTTGAAAATATGACCAAATGTTTTCATGCATACTCTCAGGAAATTTTCATTTGGCTTCCACCTGTCTCATGGCAAATCCGTATTCAATATCCCTCCAAACTCGGAAGAGCATGCCTGGTCCGGCAATCGCAATATGTGACTTAATTCAGTTCCTCTGCTTCTCAATTGTTCAAGGCAGGGGTGGGAAGTATCTGTGGCCTTTCGCCAACGGAAGAAAATCCAAAAGAAAAATCCTAAGACCCTGTTATCGATATATGTTATTTTTTGAGAGTAAGTTTTTGGCTCGTCCAGTGGATACTTGCCTTGGGACACCTACGAACAAGCTCTTCGAATCGCCTCCACAGTCTGCATCGAAGCTCGATTGCCCAGCTCCTTTCTGTTGACACAGACATTCAGTCTCCTGAATTGTATTGTGTCACTGTGTAAATGGGGATCCTCGAGGAAACATCTTTGTCAAATACAGGTTTTGAACTTCCTCTGTATTCTTGCACTTTTCGTTTCATTTAAATAGAACGCAATGAGCATTTGTTGGGCGGAAACCATTAAAAACCAACGGTGCGCGCACAACTTATATGGTTCAGCGCTATCAAGGTAGCAATAACAACTTCATCACATTCCTGTTCAAAACCGCCAGGTTTGAATGTTCTCCCTTATTTGGCTTGGAAACGGTGACGTCACAAAATTGTTCCAATAATTTATGGACACTGTATAACAATATTAAATAGCTCCATTTCTCGCTGAAAGGGCTGCCTCGCCTCGGACAAGAGTGCGACTCTGCTGTCGGCTGTGATGCATATAACACTAAGTGTTCGAAGGGAAGATGCGAATGCAAGACTGAATTCGTGGAAAACGATGGCATCTGCAGTGAGTTTCCATCAATGTCCCTCTCGTCTACTATCAGTATGTTTTTATTTTCATGCGGTTGCGATCCAGTTAAGTCTTACCCTGGACTGGGAGAGAAATGCATCCCAGACATTGTCAAGTGCGTCACGCACCATGCCCAGTGTGTCCCCGCATTACCAGAGAGCCTTTGTGTATGTGCGGATGGATATGTCGAAAAAGGAGGCTTTTGTCGTGAGTCATCATTTCATCATGTTATTTTTAATGAATCCTTCCATTTCCGCCGTTATCATCTCCAAGATTGTTTTAAAAAATTAGTAATTTTAAATGTTTGTCGAGTCAATTACTCTAGTTCAGTTTAGTCAAACTAAATTAAACTGAACATTTCCAAAGAACCGTTGAGGAATTGGAACCGCTGTGAATTATTGTATTATACCTTAACTATCAGGCTCAAACGGAATTTGATTGAACATGCAATAAGCGGTGTCCGAAGAACACATGGGAACAATTACTATTATTTTAAATCCTCTTTAGTCCGCTACTGCACGGAGCTTAAGATAAAAGGCAACCAGTTCCCAGGCTTGGAGGGCGACGTGACTGTAACGCCCTGTCCCGATCATCATTACGGCCACCAGCTATGGACGTGCTCTGAAGATGGATTCGTAATGCTCGAAAACTGCACTTCATTCACTGACTGGATCGATGATCTGATGGGATTGGTAATTTTATGCATCTCATGTGCTCCTTTTTCTCCAGAAATCATCACAGCTGTATTACGATTACTTATGTATTTTCCAAGCTGAACGATTCGAGTCTTCCGGACATATTGCCCAACTTGACTTTGGCGGTCGAAGACGTAAAGGATTTTTCAGGGGAGGAGATTGAGAAGATTGTGGATTTACTCAACCGATTGTTTGAAACCTTTAACCATGGCTTAGTCGGAGACGACATGCTTCAGCAGAATGTTAAAACTTTTCTTACCAACTTCACATTGGTTGTCGACCAGCTGCTCGCAGTCTCCGAGGGATGGATGCAATTATTACCTGTAAGCGTGAACCAATTCCGAAAGTGTCTTTTTTCACGTTATATGCGGAACACATGGGAAAATTATTCTGAAACGTCTCATGTGCTTCGGAGAAGTTTCTATGCCTTCACCTTTATGGACTTTCTGGCCTGAGAACGATGTCCTTGAGGCCCAAGTATGCAAATTGATTATAGGTGTGGCATAAAGGGACGGAAACTAAACGGTAATGCTTAGAAAATGTCTTAGGAATGAAGTTACACACCCATTAAGCAAAAGCATAAATATATGCCCAGAAATTTCGATTTTGAAAGGTTTTTCTTTTTAAATTTAGAGGCTAAACTTTGCTTTTGCTTCTAGCCACATAATTTCATGAAAGTGACAAAATTGAAAAAGCTCATTTGTAGTACTCTTCCTACACAGGCCAATCGAACGAAAACTTTCACATCCCTCCTCAGGACAATAAGTCACTCGTCTCTTGATTTGTCGGAGAAACTTCTCACGGGCTTTGATGAGGAACTTGAGTTTGTAGCAGCACAATCAACATTTTTGATTGAAATTCATGGACAGAAGAAGGGAGCTCGGTCAAATCCACTCATCTTCCCCAGCACGGAAAGCAAGACGTATTTGAAGCTTCCCGGAACATCTGAAGGTGATTCGGATGGCAACCATTACTCCTATGTTGGAGTTTTGTATGCCGTTCAGTACTTGGAGCAACTGCTGCCTGGTCATCAAAACGTGTATGCATATCCCTACAAAAGTAACATAAGGTAGTAGTTATCGTCCAATTTTGAATCATTGCTCTTGCAGGTTGAGAGAGCAGAAGACCCTGAATTCTAAACTTCTCAGCTTCACTTGGAAAGGGGAGCCAACTTTGCAACTGACGAATCCCGTTACTCTCGTCATGGAAAACTTGCATCACATTCAAGACCCTCCGTATCGTGACATTTGGAGGGACCTACACGAAGGGGAAGAGCCAACATTCGTACCCCGGAGCCACCGATGCAGTTTCTGGAACTTCAGCGAACAGTGCGTCGTATCATTCCGAGATATGCCATTATTTCCTCACAGATTCAGGATTTGAAAATGCCGAATCACTCCCATTTTGTAGGGGTTATTGGGACACTACAGGCTGCCGCGAGGTGTCATCTGACAGGAAACAAACTGTGTGTGAATGCAGCCATTTCACCGATTTTGGGATTCTCATGGACTCCCATCAATATGTAGTGAGTAGGAGAAAGTAGCTCCTAAATAAACTAAAATGCAAATAGGACTTCGAAGATGCGAAAACAATTACCATGGCGTGGATTTGTTTCAGGGACGCAGTGTCGCACTGGAAATATTTCTCATTTTCATTTCGAGCCTCTCCATGATCGGACTCGTATTTTCCCTGGTCGTTTTCCATATGAATAGGTTCGTCTCCATTGAACAGTAGTATAATATTCGATGATGGCTTTTTTCATCCTGAAAGCCTCTTCATCTTTTGTAGAAATGAAAACTCAACATTGGTGAACCCTAGTCAGCAGTTGTGCCTCTGCCTCTTGTTGGGCCAGATATGTCTATTCCTGCTCATTGACCGTTACATCTTCAATCTTTCCGAGGTGAGGCTTTGGTGTCTCTGGAAATCACTTGGCTTCAGCATTTTCCCATCATCACTTATGAAAGTACATTTTAAGCTAATTTTTACTTTTCTTATTTATGACTTATTAAATTCCTTCCTTAAATTCCATTTTCCAATCGTAGGCATGGTCCGTTATGTAATGACTGTCAACAGTTTTACAGATGTTTACATATCTCAATCATTGTGAGTATCTTGTCCTCTATTGAAAAAAAGCTTCGACGAAATAAGTGAAAGCGATTAATGTTCATTCGAAAATTTTGGCTGAAATTTAGTTCAATAAGACATGTGAGTATCCGTCCCATACCCAATAACTAGTATATTACTTAATTTAGTAGCATTACACAAAGACGTAATTCATTGCTGCGGGTCAGCAGACTTTTTCAGTTCTAGCAAAACAGAATTAGACTCTAGAATAGGTTATTGTGATTAATACTGAACTGAACAACGAACTAGCCTCTTACTAGAAACCCAACGAACTAGGTTTCATTCGGAAGGAAAGCTCAAATCATTTAAATTTTTCACAAAAAGAGAGTATAATAATCCTCTTTTTGTCTCGAATATATCGCAGGTCGGTTGCGCCATCACTGGAATGTTCATGCACTTGATATTTCTCTGCATCTACATGTGGCTGGCCTTGGAGTGCCTCTCCATCTATCGGAAACTGGTCGGCAAGCCTAAGCGTTTCAGACTTTCCACGCGGGCGCATTTTATCGTCGGATATGGTGTTCCCTTTGGGATCGTCTGCATCACGGCTTTAGTGTCCTTTGGTACTCGCACGCACGGATACGGAGCCGGGGAATTGTGAGATACGACACATTATGCTCAACTATCAGGCTAAAGTCCATTTGGTGACTCGGGCATTGCACAGGCATGCTGCAAAGTTTGCAAGATGATAGCAGTAGAATGAATTCTTTTTTTAGTCACTTGTTCAATTTGAAATGAATCAAATTTGAGCCCAACACAAAAAATTAATGTTCTTTTCTTGTTTAATACAGGTTTTTCCCCCTATTTTCCCACCGGAACTTCATTTAGTCTGTCGTATTTTCTTCTAATTTGCAAGTGATCAGTATGCCGCACCGAAACCTAAAATAAATATAAATTGTTTCATAGATGGGGTTAGTGAGTACTACATTCTCTTGCAAGATTTTTCAGGACACATTGTAAGCCCCACAGGAGGTTCTTGTTATTATTAGGAGGTTCCTTATCATAAAATATAATATTCGGAAGGCTCCGTGGGAAGTTACAGAAACCGTGCTATATCCCCCTCGTTTCGAGTTATCCTCTCGAATGGTCGAATGGCATAATGTCGAATTCTCTTTAGTCGAATAGCTAAAATGTCGAACGTCCTCATGATCGAAGACTAAAATGTCGAAAGCTACTTTTACTGAGTCGATAGGCACATCAGTACATTATAGGCCAATTATAGCCATCAATAAATATATCAATCCAGTCAAATGTCCAATTGTCTAATTGCTTCAAAACTTCATTGTGCTAAACCTCTCAAGAAATCGAGCAAAGGCCTCAAATCAAACTCTTCAAGGGTTGTCTTTGGTATACATACAACCACTATTCACGAGCAAAGCACCACCTTTTTGAGTCTTGTGAAGCATGGACGTCATAACGAACCCAGTCGATCCAGAAAATAAGCCGAGGGAGTGATGACAAGGAAAGGATCGAGATTGACTGCTAGTTCATGGGCGAGTATGGGTCGAACCCCTTTCAAGGTCACTAATAATAACTGGAGTGATCGCCTATCTCTGAAGATAAATGATCATTCCAGTTTGAGAAGGCTGAACATACAGCCTACGAAGGCGTGAACTAAACAAGAGACAAAGAATAACTCTATTCAGAAAAAAAAGAACGTAGCCCTAGACAAGCACATCCGACGTTTTTCAACATTTTTCGAATTTCTGGTTCTTTCGACATTTTCTCCGTTCCACCATGTCATAATTCGACATTTCCTACTCACTCCCATTCTGCCTTTCGACAATTTATGCCTTCGACATTCTTGCAATTCGACAAAAAATTTTCGGCCTTCTGCCCCAGAACCCATTTCGAAACGTCTCAAGTACCTCATCAACCTTAGTACACGCTTGAGTTTTTTTTCAAATTACCGATGGCGTAGCTTGAAGTACAGGGTGTCCCACTTACCGCGGACGATTTTAATCGCGTATGAAATTATTCATAGTTGAGCAAACTAAACAAAATGTTCACAATATGTAGATGTCTGTTTAGCATTTATTGTGACAAAGTTTCAGCCAAAACAAATTTACTAGTTACAAGCTATGAACTTTAACATGACCCCCGTCAATTTCAAGCACTTTTTCCAATCGTGCCTGGTCTTCAAGCAGCGTTTTCTAGCGCATTTCAACGGTAGTGTCTCCAAACGCAGCGGGAAGACCTTTCTTCAGTTCGGGAATGTCCCTCGGTTTGGTCGCATAGACTTTCGACTTAAAGCCCCACATGAAGAAGTCGCACTGCGTTAAGTCAGGAGAATAGGCCGGCCAGGGCATTGTTAGTGATCCACGACCCTTCCATCGATCCGGAACTTTTTCGTTCAGCCAGGCACGAACTTCTTTACCGAAAAGAGGCGGGTACCATCCTTAATGCCAAAGAAAAATTCTGGCCAAAAATTGAATAACAGGGATTGGCTGATGATCTGGTCTTCATGCATGATGGTGCCCTCCCTCTTTTCGGTAAAGAAGTTCGTGCCTGGCTGAACGAAAAAGTTCCGGATCGATGGAAGGGTCGTGGATCACCAACAATGCCCTGGCCGGCCTATTCTCCTGACTTAACGCAGTGCGACTTCTTCATGTGGGGCTTTAAGTCGAAAGTCTATGCGACCAAACCGAGGGACATTCCCGAACTGAAGAAACGTCTCAACTATGAATATTTTCATACGCAGTTAAAATCGTGCGCGATAAGTGGGACACCCTGTATATTCAAATACCTTAGAAATAATTGCGAAGCCGGAACACCATTTTAATGGCAACTTCATACGGAACCTCCTGATAGCCAATTTTGTGTTTCTCTAGGTAAATATGACGTTAAATGGGTAAATGTGTGTGAAGAGGATTTGTATCTGAGTGAGAATCTCATGGATATTGATTCGGAAAATAAATTTCATTTCTTATAGATTTTATTTAAACCTCTCGTGTCTAAACGCCCAGGAACCGCTCACCTGCAATTGAAAGAAAAAGAAAGCAGAATCAGTGGAGTTCCTGGGAGGAATCTGGCAAAAATCAGCAAAAGAGGAAATATAATAAACTTCCTGTTTATGGCTCCACGTTGGTTCTGTTCAAATTGAACATGTAGTTGGAAAAGATGTCCATTCTTCCTACCATCATTCTAAGAAGTTGTCGCTTTGCAAGACGGTAGCATTATTTGGCAAAATGCTTCTTTTCCACCAAGTAAATGTAAACTCCTTGAAGAGTTCGGGTTGCAGGTTCAAAGGGAGACTGTCTCGCCTGCTGTTCTTCGACAATTTCCTTTCTTTGAGAAAATGTACAATAATTTTTCGAAAACTACGCATGGATCTTCAAATTGTCTGCTTTCGTAATTCAATGTCGTTGAAAGCAATACTAGCCATTGTCGTCTTGATATTTGAAAACAAATCCTATGCGTTTGAATATTACAGCTTTTCCCTATTGCTAGAGCCCTATTTCATATATTGATGGACATTTTTCAAAAATATGAAGTATGATCCGCAAAACGCTGCGCTCTTTTCACATATCCATGCGTCCGACAGTCAAAAGTGCGTCCCTTTATCAAAATGAAAGTACGCGCTTCAATAATTAAACGTACGGGGTAAGGAATGTCTATGAACAGTCAAGAAGAGACGGTGAAAATAATTATTCTGAAAATTAGGAGGCCGGAATAGAAGCAGAAAGAGTCTCTTGAGTCGGTTTCTCTTCTTTTTTAAACTCAAATTAGCATCCTGCGATAAATGCATAGTTTGGAACCTTTGGTATTCCTTATTTTCATAGCTTTCTCGCTTATGTATCATTCAAAAAGAAAAGAAAAAGACGATAATGTGACTGACTCTCTTTTCTGTGAAATTTGTTGTTGATAAAATATTTTTACAGTTTTTCTGATCATACAATGAGGACTTCTCCTCTTGTCCTCAACTTTTACTCTGACAACCTATACAATATAGGCTCGGTTGTTGAGTGGATGTGTATACGGCGGGTGTTTCAACTGTGATCAACCAGGATCAAACCAGCATATTTTTATTCTTGTAAAAATCATCAAACCGTCCATTGAGATTATTTCACGTAAGGTATATGGACGAGGTGCTGCTTGAAAGCACACAAACTCCTCCTCCCCCCTCCCATTCTTCCCCTCTCGCCTTCGTTGAACGGGAAATTGCACTTTTTTGCTCCACAACAGTTCATGGTTTCTGCCGGTCGAGCCCATTACTATCTTCCCACACCCTAATAAGGCCAGACTGTTATCTTGTCACTTGACTCGTGCCGTCATTCAAAAGGGTGCAGGGCGTTGTATCCGGTCGAAAACCCCTCAACGAGCCAATAGAGCGAGCATGACTTGGAAAGATTTGGAGATCATAACATGAGATTTTCGCAATGAACACTCATATCTACGAACAAAAATGGGTCCCAAGGTCATAACAATTCTGTAACTTATGATAAAGAAAAACGACCAAAAATGGCCTCTTTTCTCTCTTTTCAACCCTTTTTAGCTATATATATTGTTACAGAAATTAATCTTAGTAAATATTCAGGATCAGGTATTTTGGATTTTTCTGAATAGCAGTCGGCATTATTGCTTGCCAACTACATTGATGTATCGACGTGAGAAACTATTTCAACATTTCAACATTTGAGAAGGAGCATTCGGCTCTGACGACTATGGACGATGAGAAAACCTCTGGGATTGGTTGGAAGGAATTTTGGAGGATAGAGATTGCCGTCAGAAGCCATGCATCCATCGTCCACACTCGTCGAATCGGTCTTCTTATCCTTTTCAGTGCGTTAGGTTTCGAAAAAGGTACGTAGATATATTAAAATCGCCCTTCGTGTATCGCTTTTCGTACGTTAGCAATGAAATCGGATGTTTAGTTTTGTGAAAAGTTTGCGGAGTTTTGGGATTTGTTCAAATAGTTTTGAAAACGGAAGTATAGTTTCGAGAAACGGACGTTAGCAATTGGGAAAAACTGCAATTATAGAATGCTCTTAAACAACGGCACTATGAGGATGGGCCTCATAGTGGGCAATTCGTGACAGCATTTTTGCTGCCGTCATTATAGAGATTTGAATTGTTTCCACCTTTCCATATGTCCACCTCAACAGGTTCCGATTTTATTTTTGCCAGCTGCTGGTTGTCATCGCCTCGCTATATCTGGACATTTGCCGGCCCCGTTTTGGTCACTCTTTTGTCAAATGCCATCTTCTTGTTTTTGGCGATCCACATCATCAGACGGCCTGTGAAAGCCGGTCGTTTGGAAGAAAAACCCGACTCGTAAAGCATTTATTTCGCACGAGTTATTTCTACCTTCAACACGTGACATGAAATAGTATGTTCTTGAACTGTTTCAGGAACCCGGTGAAAGCAGCAGTGTCCATGTCCAGCCTATTAGGGATTGGTTGCATATTTGGTTTCCTCTACATGCAGGTTTCGCCACTCGTCCTCCCCTTTTTCACTATCGCCAATGCCTTGCAGGTAATTTCAGAGATGGAAACCAAACCTAAGTTATATAGACTCTATGGATGACCTATTTCACTCATGAAATAAATGGTAATTGAGAGTGAAAGACTCGCTATTCATGGCTGCACTTCTAAACCTTCT